AATACAAAGTATTAACTGCAAAGTCTACTGTTGACGCGAAATCCGAAAACCCGAAATTTTGTAAAATCGTTTTATTTTTTCTGGCTTTATTTGAAAACGAATTTTAAATAAATTGCATATTTACATTGCCATTTTTTTTTTTCGCTCTATCCAATGGCGTCAACATTTTTGCAATCCGACGTTTCGTCTTCGACGGGCCATCATCAGATTGATTTTTTTAAATATATCCCTGCTATTTTTATGACAAAATCTACTCATATTTAATTCTGTATTGATAAAATATGATAAAAAGGTTTTTAGCTATCATTAAAAATTTTTCCTGATTACGTCTCTGAACGCTTTCAAAATACCTATCGGAGGAGAGAGAGAGGAGAGAGAGAGGGGAGAGAGAGAGAGGAGAGAATAAAAGTCAATACAGCACAAAATATCCAACAATTTTTTTAATCCATAATTTAAAAATCTGTACCTAAAAAAATAATACGAATTTATGAAATATTTTATTATTTCTAATTAGTATTGCTAACAGTAGTAAAAAATCGTTGGGTATTTTGTGCGGTATTTACGTTTATACTGTTATAACTTCATCCAATAGATACATAAGAAAATGTTCAGAGCCGTATTCAGGAAAAATTTTAAATTATAACTAAAACAAGCTAAAAACTTTTTAAGCGATTACAATAGTAATATCCCCTAATTCAGAATTAAAAATGACTTTAGATTTTGTCATAAAAATAGCAGCGACGTATTTAAAAAAATTTATCCGATGATGGCCCCTTGAAGACGAAACGTTGGATTGCAAAAATGTTGACGCCATTGTATAGAGCGAAAAAAGGGGCGTGTAAATATGTAATTTATTTTATTCGTTTTCAAATAAAGCCAGAAAAAAATTAAACAATTTATCAAAATTTCGGATTTTTCCGGATATTTCCGGAACTACCCGGAATTTTCAAACTTTCTAAACAGCATATTGTTAGGTATAAAAAAACACAACTTTTTTCTAATCTGAGCCACCCCACATCTTTTTCCGTTTTCTAGATCCTAATGCTATCCCATCCTTATCTTGGACACACTATATCTATGAATTCATCAAACTTTTAAAAAAATAAGTTATACACTAATCGATAATACGGAAAAAAAATTATTATTTATTTTATTTATTCACTATTCGGCTTATGTTTATAGCAATACTGTATAAAAATAGTTTTGGGTCAAACAATGAGATAGTTNAATCGATCGGTCGTGTATTCGTCTTTAACGCTGCAAAAACAGTTCTAATAACAAATTTCCATTGGTAACATCACCTGACAAGGTAGTTCCAAAAAAAGCACGTTAAATACAGGGTGTCCACCCTGTATATCCAGAAATTTATACAAAAAATGCATGAGAGTAAATATTTTTGGTATTTCATCAGTCAAAATAGTCAGTAAGTGATAATCGTCAAAGTCAGTAAAATAAAAGATCTTCGTAAATTTTGTTTTGCATTATTTTTGGGCTTAGGGAAATTCTAGAAATCGGGAATATACAGGATGTGACTAGAATGCATGGCTGATTGTTTTTTTATAAAAAGTTGTTAAAATTCAAAGAAAGAAAAAGGATTTTTTCAAATTTGAAAAACCGTTTTCGTTTTTGATTTTTCCAAAAATGTATGTGTATTTTTTATACACCTTAGCGTAGTTTAAGGAGTGGATGCGTTAATTTTCGCTCCAAATTTTCATTTTTCCTGCTGGATGCTTCAAATTCGACTCATGAATGAAATAGAACAGTAAAAACTTTAACCAAAACATATATGTTGTATGTTGCTGGGACGTAACATTTTCGAGATATATTTCAAGATATATCTCTAAAAATATCACAAAAAATGACAAAATTATATGTCTATAAATACCTTATTGAGAATCATATATTCTCTTATTAGCTCCCGTATTTTTACTCCATTTTAAAGCTAATTCAAACAAAATCATTTTTTTTTTAATTTTTTAATGACGTCATTGTTCTTCGATACGTCCGATTTGTTTAATTTTTATTTGTAGAGTGTGAGGGCTGTAAGTCAAATATGTGTATCACCAAATCAGGGGTACCACAAGGTTCAAATTTAGGCCCGCTTTTAGTTTTAATATTCATTAATGATAAAATATCTCAAAAAATGTTATTTGTTGATGATCTGAAAATATTTAGTGTAGCGGCACGCTACAATTACATTTAGTACCTGCCCCAATAAATATATTTTGCTTTCTGGGAATTTACGAGCCACATAAATTATACTTTGAATTATCCGAGATTATCCCAAATAAGTGTATTTAGCAAATGAGATTATAATAAGTAGGCTGTAAACATAAATTAGTTGTTGTTTATTAGGGTACATAAGCACAAAGGTACCGAGTAGGTAATGACCCGGATAAGTGTTAATTAGGAAAGGGTAATAAAAGTAGACACCTGGGGACAAGGATAAAACCGAAAACATTTCGAGGCACGAACCAGAAAGCCTAGTTCCTGCTCGGTTGTGTCTGGTGTTACCAGCGAAATTAGTAGAATAAAGTTTTCCATGCTAATTAGAGTTTTTCTCCTCACTAATCGTTTAAAGCTTCAAGATGATTTGAGTAAGATGAATCAGTGTTTTTTTATAAATTTATCAAAACTGAGTATATCTAAATGTAAAATAGTTTCGTACACGAAAAAGGAGACGGTTTTAACTTAAATGATCAAATTGTGCACTATTATCTCCTGAAAAAATCAAGATGTCGGGAAATTATTTCGATTTGCGTGATTTGAGGACTTTTCTCAATTTTTTACGCAGGAAACAAACTGAAAAAAGTAATTAAAGCAAATCGGAGAGCGGCTACTGCGATTCCTGAGGAATTTTTCGTACCCGATTTTCGTTTGTCTTCGTCCACAATACGCTGCCTTATCAGAGGACTTAATCAGGAATTTCGTCACCGTTCAGCCATAAAAATAATACATGCGCGGCATATGGTCGGTATTTAAAATGATTTTTTATGCATAATTCATGCGCCCAAGTGTCTAGATTCGACCAGCGTTGCCAGCCTCGCTCGGTTTGCGTTCCATCTTTACTCGAACATAAAAAAAGTACACGGGACGTCCAAGAAAACGTTTGGAATGCTTGGAAACGAGCCACGGTTTGCTACGATACACAGAAACTGAAATAATTGATTTGATGTGTAAGTTGGGTAAAAAATTGGGAAATAAACGTTTTTAACTGATAAAATTGTGGAAAACAAACAACTCGTGCAACATTAAATTACAGCGGCAATATCCAGTAAACAGCTAAGATCATTCGTCACAGTAGAACCACCAGACATATACCGGTTTCGCACGTATCAATTATCGGTACGCTGTAGGTGTAACGACCTACAATTATATCTCAAAAATCATTTCAAATAGCTGCATCGTTCGCTAAAGTCATTTTTTGTGCGAATTAAAGCGATTCTGAAGACTTGACAACGCTGTAAGTGGTCGGCAGACAAGTTCAACGACTGTTCTGTCCGTCTAACGTAACACCTTTTGGGTTTTTTTCGATGTTATTCCGAGAAGGCGAAAACTGATGCATATCTAGTCAGCTGTACGCGTACACGAGCCCGATATGATTCCTCACTTTAATTTGACAGTACTGTTTTTTTAACCTCTCGCAATTGCTGGTTCCCGGAATCTTAAAAATAATAACATCGCCAAAGATGCGGATGAGAATGAGAATATACAGGGTGAGATATTATCTTAATCATTAAGAATTCTTTATCGGAAGCCCCATTCAAAAATTCTTCAGTATGTGCTCTTTCCAATACTGCAGCTTTTTTGCTTTGGATCCTCTCGATTCACTCTTCGAATAAGCAGTAAGCTTGCTATATTTTCCAGTATCTATATTTTTGTAGACCTTCCACATCGAATACTTCGACCACATAGATAAAATTGCATATTCTTTCTTCAAATTTAAAAAATACGATAGCATGACTTCTTCATTTATTGTCATTACTCTCCGTTTTTCCTCAGTTCGTTAAATTCGGCGAACACTTTTTCATAATGTTCCCTGGATTTCGCTGGCAATAAACGGAAAATTGCTTCTTGAGCTTCTTCAAAAACAGCCACAGGAACACAATAATTACTTTCTTACATTTTTAGGAAATCGAGATGGAACTGTTTATTAAACAATTGATAATAGACAACGTACCATAGGAACCAGTAGGTACAAAAAACCCACCACGTTTCATTGAGTACTAGTAAGAAATATCAAGTCGTGCGAATATTTTTTTATTAAATTCCAATGATTCTGACTCCAAAAATATGATTATGATGTGATTATGGATAAAACGTTGTATTGCATTCGTGTTTTGTTTATTGCCTTTTATCCACTTAAGAATATTAAATCCTCGAACTACGTTGCGTGGATAAAATGCTACTTAAAACACTTATAATAAATATCTATTATTGTCAAGCTGCGTATTTAACACCCTGTATCTCGGAAACGAAAGATCTTAGAACTGTGTCTGCAGCAATTCGTTTTCTTGTTTTGATTTATGCGATTGTTATACCTTATATTTAAATTAGGACAGTCGTTGTTTTATCATAACTAAATAATTGGGATAACATTTTTCTCGAGATTGAAGATTAGCACTTGTTTATGCAAAATGCAAACCATTATTTACATTTAAGATACCTTTGTTCTTAGAACAAAATTTTTAGAACGAAATTCTTATATTTATGTAAATTGTTACAAACAATTTTAAATTTAAAATTATAATTTTTGAACTTCCTGAAAAATGTCCCTTCTTTTTCTCCATTTTGTCTCACAAATATTTTTAGACATTTTCAAAAATGGTATTTTAAAATTTAGTTTTTGTTCCTCTTAAATTCTACCCACTGTAAAAGTATTTAAATAAAAATACAGCAACTTTCATAAAATTTCTTTATTACATAGGTATTTTAACTTTTTTTTTAATTCCAGTTGTTTTTTAACCAACTTTTTTTGGTTCCCTTTTTGTTTGAATTTTTTTCCAGTTTTAAAAAATATCTTCCCATTATATTTTTACAAAAAATAAACGATGTTAATTTTGTTTACGAACATGTCGAATAAGATTGCGCTGCAAAAGTGTTACAGTGGCAACTGTCCCTCCTCTAGAATTTTGTGACATTGTCCCTTTATCCTCGACTCTCATCTCTTGCTTCCCGTTGATTTGTTCTTCAAGCTGTGATTTTTATAGACTTGGCGTATTTTCGAATTGTATTCATCTAGAAAATCGGCTTCCGAATTACGTTTTTGGTCCCCAAAGTCTACACCTAATTCGAGATGGAATTTGTCTTCAAATGGCCATACTTTAAAAATTTGATGACACTACAATGATCTAATATCACAAAAAAAACTCAATTTTTCTTGTGAAACACTTATGAGAGAAAATAATGAACCAAAAGTGAATCTAACACAAGTCGGAAAAGATCACTATGTAACGCTACTGACCAATGCGCTGTCAATTGTTTCTATCATGGCTAAGTCAATATGCTCCATCGACAATTTAACAATAGCCAATTATGAAGCTGGTACTACAAGGCCTCTTCAATTATGAAGCTTGCACCAAGTAGAAGAAGGAACTTCACTGCCTTCAAATGACTAGCTTGTAAGCAGTGACCATAATCCACCATAAGTTTATGGAACCACAACTGTCCTTTATATTAACATCTGCAAGCACTTCCGCAAGGTTTTGGATACTTTTTGACAGCCGATGGATGTCATCATTCCCATAGTTATGTATGGTTATTATCTTCAACCACATTAAAGTCTGGGTCATATTCTTCAAAGAACTTGACAGTATCCGACTGCTTACAGGAAGCTGCGACATCCTTGGCAGTACATCCATATTCATCTCTTATCGCGAGGTCTGCGCCAAGTTCTAGCAAGACTTTGACAAGCTCCAAATGGCCTTTGGCACTAGCTAAGTGCAGTGGCGTGCGTCCGTGGAAACCACGCTCATTAAAATCCATACCGCAGCTCGCCAGCAATTTGACGATATCCAGTTGTCCGTAACTAGCCGCAGTGTGTAAAGCCGTATTCGAATTCTCGTTTTTGATGTTGCAATTTACCCCGATTTCGAAAAGGAACCTGACCGTCTCCGCGTGACCGTTTGCGCTAGCCAAGTGCAATGGAGTGCGGTTATTTTTACTCGTAACGTTAAAATCTAGACCGTATTCCACTAGGAACCTGACCGTATCCAAATGACCACTAGACGCTGCTACGTGCAAAACGGTGTAACCTCCACTGTCTCTAATCTGGAAGTCCGCGCCCAGCGCAAGAAGGTACTTCACCGTGTTCAAATGTCCTTTGACGCTGGCTAAATGCAGCGGCGTGCGTCCACGGAAACCACGCTCGTTAAAATCTAGACCGTGTTCTATCAGGAGTTTGACGATGTCCAGTTCTCCAAAACTGGCGGCCGCGTGTAAGGCGGTGTTCGAACTTTCGCTTTTGTTAAAGCGATCCGCACCACTTTCAAGGAGGAACCGCACCGTCTCCAGGTGAGAGTTCGCGCTAGCTATATGCAGCGGCGTCCGACCAGTGCGGTCGGTATCGTTGAGAGCGACACCGTAACCGACAAGGTACTTTACGGTATCCAGCTGACCACACCAAGCTGCTAGGTGTAAAGGTGTAGAACCGTTGTCGTCTTTTATATTAGCGTCAGCAAGCAGTTGCTTAAGGTCGTCGACGTCGCTACCTCGATAGACTTCTGTTGTTAAGAATTTCACCATATTCGTACGCCCCTTTAGTGCTGCAAAGTGCAGTGGAGTCTGACCTTTGTCATTCCTTATGTTAAATCGAAATTGCCCTGTAATCATATACAAGCATAAATTGAGGTTAGATCGTCTGCGTGTAGCGATTGCATGATGGCAGCCATTTTGGATCATATTTCATAGATACCGGTACTGTTGACTGCAATTGTATGTTTGTTTACAATTTAAATTTGCCGGTTTTTCCATACACCAAAATGGCCACCATTATACGATCGTTAGCTTCAAGCTTATTCTATATTTATCTTTACCTATGCCTGTAAGGTCTTCGGAAGCGTTTAAAGTATTACCAGCGGTATATCTTCGAACATCTTTGACATCTTCCTTCTCCCTGGAAATTTTGACGTCTGCGCATTTGAGGAGGAACTTAAGAATTGTTACGAGACCCTCCTCCGCTAAGAGATATGTTAGTTCCGATCGCAATTTAGCGGATTCCAAGGCCCCCTCTTGTTTAACGGCCTCGAAAATTCTGGAAGGTAAGGAATGTACGACCTTCTCCAGTAAACTATCGAAGAAAATGCGGGTGACATTGTACTGAGAACGAAGAAATATCGTGTCGACGAGGAACGTATGGAATTCGAAAGTTTCATTCTGTTGTAGTTCCTTTAGCAAGCAATCGGCGAAAAAGTAGTCCGCAAATGTTCTGTGGATGAAGTGGATTTTGCCATTAAATTTCTGCGCGATACCTATTTTTAACAAGCTTGTTTCCGTGTATTTGTCGCTTTGTTGGTAGTCCGAGAAATAACGCAGTTTGTCCTTATCCACAATCATCTCGACAGCTAGATTTCTATGATAAATGCGACAGTTGTCTAATTGTTTCTTGAGTGCTTCATTGGCCCAGGTTTTCTTATCCGGATTTTCCTTTTTGTGGAATATGTCCCACTTCTTGTTGAAGAACAGGTCGTATAGTTCTATGACGTCAATTTTTTTCACTTTTGACTCGGATTTCTCGCCAATTGTATCCTGGAAAATCTCTGCAGCCATTCGTACGTGTAGCGGGATGCTAGCAAAGTGATCCTCTGTGTTGTCGAAGTTCGTCCACGAAATGCTGCTTATCACTTGCTTGGCGTATAGTTTACTCGCGTCGTCTTGTATTTCTAGGTTATGGGCCCAGTAGTTGGTAAGGAAGTCTACTTGATTTTGTTCTGTGAACTGTTTCAATACAAACGGTTTGACCTTCAGCACTGCCTCCAACTCTTTAGTTACATGCGGTCTCGTAGTAATGAAGATCTTGACGAAATTTGACTCTTCCTGGCACTGTTGTATCATCCTCAAAATGATCTGAGTGTAGTCAGGACTTACTTCATCAATAGCGTCTAACATCAACACCACTTTTTCCCTCGCAGAAAATACGTACTTTTCCAAGCCGTTCGCTAGTTTTGTCTCACTTTTTGAATCCAACAGTTCCGTTACAGTCAAAGCGGCTTTCCCGGTCTCCAAAGATTCACCCAATACCCTAGTGAAGTCGTTGAGTATTATTCTAACGACCCACAGATTTGGATGGGTTTCTTTTATGGCTGACGCCATTTTGATCAAGACCGTGCTCTTTCCCATCCCAGCGCCGTCTGAGATGAATACCAATTTTTCTTTCACGTCGAAAATGGTACTTTCCGTAAAGGTTTCTTCGACCCACACCTCGTCTTCTGACTCGTCTAGAGATTGCACTTCTTCACTTGGATTGCACTTCTTCAGAGTTCTGCTGAGGGTGCGATTTATGTAGAACTGACGGATGTGTTGGTCTAAATCTGAAAGCGGAGTCCCAACTTTTATTTCTTTCCTTGCGACCAATCTCTGTAACGTTTCTGAATCCATAGCAGCTCCATAATCTTCCACCGGCAATAAGTCTTCCAAGCTGAAGTTTTTCCCTTGAAAAACTATATTCTTCTCCTTTACCAACATCTCCCGAGAATCATAGGAAAGGTCTTCGAACTTCACGGAAGCCTCTACTTCCGCAACATCATTGAATCCAATTTGTTGCACAAGTTTGTTGTCTTTGGCTATCAGGATGATTTTCTTGTACTTGTACCTCTCTAACGGCCCCTTCAACTTATCATACGTTTCAAGTCTTCCAGACTCTTCAGTAGTCGTGTGCCCGATTATTACTAAGAAGACGTACTGGGGCAATCCAAATACCTCTACTACCTGTTTCTGAGCTTCGATGCCATCGTCAGGATTTACATAAAGAATTTTCGCTTTATTCGCATGCAAGGCAGAATAGATTTTTATTAATTGCAACAAATATCCGTCTTTAACAACGGCGTGGAATATTTGTTTCGGGCCTTGGAAATCCAAGTCGTTTTTTTGAAGGGTCACTTTATACTCCTCCAATTTCTGGCAGAATTTGTCTCTCCATATTTCCACGAACATTGCTTTGGCGTGGACTTCCGTAAAGTATACGCCATCTTTACGCTGGAACCAATCCATCACCTTAGGAAGCATTTCTTGTGAAGTTGTTTTGCCTTGAGAATTGCTACAGAGTTTTATGAGTGATAATAACTTTTCAGTGGCCTTCTCTAGTGTCTTTAGAGGTGGATAGTTGAAATACAGTTGCAATTGTTTGAGAAAGTCTCTCAAATTTTTGTCTGTAATGACTGATTCTTCAATATTCTTGTTCTTAAAATGTTGCTGATAATACTGAATGGTTTTTTCTTTTAAATACGAAATAAAGGCATCATGAAGCGTATAAAATGAACAAGGGCCATCTTCACAGTACAACAGGCTATCAGTATTCGCTTCTTGGTATGTTAAACATTTTAAAGCTCTTTCGTGGATGCTTGCATTTGTGCAAATGACAACATTTTCCACTTTAAACTTGTCTTTAATTGACATGTAGGACAAGAAGTATTTCGGCAAGCTAAAGTGATCGTTTTTGGAGTTTGTGGATGTCAGTTCTTCCAAAGTGATCTTCTTGTTGTCGTCCTCTTTGTGTTTGGATTGGATGAGAACGGCTCCTCCAGACCATTCCACTACAATATCATCAAACTTCCCCGCATCTTGGTTCTCCGTAGACAACTTCCAGTCACTCAGCTTATTTTTCAATGCTTTGAGTATAACCAACGCTAGCAATCTGACTTGGTATTCCACCCCTTTGCTCCCAGCGCTGCCGCCTTTTCTGTATCTGGTAGGGTTGGTTTTCCTCTCTTCCTTGTCTCGGTGGGATTTTAGGATATATACTTCGTCTACGGGTTCTAGTCTTGCGAAGGTTTTTCCGTCAAAGCACAGGACTACTTCTTTGGGCTTTTCCTTTGGGGTTTCCTTTGGGTAAGTTCCGAGAATAGTCAGATCAGGTTCTATGACGGTTATTGGATGTGGTGCTTCCTCCGAGAGCACTACAACTATAATATTTTCAAGCATCGCCAGAATTGGAATATCTTCCTTGGTTACAACTTGTTCGTTGTTCATAACGTCAAAGATATACCTCGCAAGGTTCTGTTTATCATCAATAGACGTGTCTCTGTACTTGGCGTTTTCGGAAAGACATTTTTTTAATACGTTCGTGAGACAGAAAGGCATAATTTCGTTTTCAAAGTACGTTAGGAAGGTCGCCCAACGCATGCGACGGAATTTCGCGTGTTTGTAGAAATAAGGTCCGCTCCCGTCAATCCTCACACCAAACGCCGAATGAAAAAAGCTGTCGTTGTCTGAGACTGTGAGACATCGGCTCCACGGTTTGCCTTTGTAGAGGTACGTGGGGGGGTCCATGTTAGCCGGTGATTAATCTAGAATAAAAAAAATAAATATAACCGCGAACAAAAAAATCAACGGCGATTTCAGAATTGACGCACTATCGTATGTTTTTAATTTACTGTTTTTGAAAGCACTGTGTTTAGTTTTACACATAAAATCATAAATTTACTCGTTTTGCTGTAGGAAGAGCCCTTAAAGAAACTGGTCAAGGTACGAGGAACGTATGGAATTCGAAAGTTTCATTCTGTTGTAGTTCCTTTAGCAAGCAATCGGCGAAAAAGTAGTCCGCAAATGTTCTGTGGATGAAGTGGATTTTGCCATTAAATTTCTGCGCGATACCTATTTTTAACAAGCTTGTTTCCGTGTATTTGTCGCTTTGTTGGTAGTCCGAGAAATAACGCAGTTTGTCCTTATCCACAATCATCTC